TAGGTTAAAGGGATAATAACTTTTCGTATGAGATCTATATTTCACAATAAAAACATTGTGAACAACTCATAGAAATATAATATTTTCTGTTGCACCACAAAAACGGCAGTTATAGCTATTATTCTGATATTTGAGCTTGTCTTAAGACCACGTGACCTCCACTGATAGCTATACTCTGTTAAAATCTCTTAAGACTAATTTTGAATGCAAAAATGGATTCATTAACCATTGGTAAGTATGGCAAAACTGTTGTTTACTCCAGGAAAATTCATTTTTTGGCCAAGTTATTATCTCTTTAACTGACAGCCCTTACATGTCTGAAGTACTGTTGAAAAAGGTGTAAAATCCAACTAAAACAAAAGCAACTGCTGAACCACGATGAAATTTAGACAGATGGGCTAGGGCAATGTGAACATTAAAAAGAAAACAACAATGCTATGACTGAGCTGAAATTCTAATATACTGATTGCGGCAGCTGTTGTGCCAGGAGTCAGTAGAGCGATACAGGCCTATTGCTCTAATACGTTTTATTGGTAAAAAAGAGCATTTGTAAACACTAATAGCATACATCGTTAAACATTTCAATATCAACAGTCATCATTTAATTAAGATTCACTCCAGCTAGTCTCTCTTGCCACGGAACTGAACCTGCTTCACTATTAAAAAAGGCCTTAATATAGTCCCTCATGACTTTGCCCTCTCGATTGTCTCTGTTGGGTGCATTAAACTGGGGTATCTCCTGCAGATGTTGGTCTGCCCTCCAGGCACCAGGGATTATGTTGTGCTCCTCCTCTTCCTGGTCCACTTCCGCATTCCCAATGGCAGGGAACCTGATCCTCAGTAAGTTGTGGAGGATGACACCTGTCTCCACCAGTAACCGCACAACATCAGGTCCTTGTTCCAGGGTGCCCTGGAAGCATCTCCATCTGTTGGCAAGTATTCCGAAACCATTCTCCACCACACGCCTGCCCCTGGAAAATTTGTAATTGGCCACCAGCATGTCATTGTCCAGAGCCCTCCTGCCATAGGGTTTCATGAGGAAAGTCCTCAGGGGAAAGGCATCATCTCCCAGGATGTAGTAGGGTGTGTCTCTGTTATCACTGGGCAGAGGATCGCTGTCAGGAAAGTTTATGGTGTTGTCATCAATGCACTCTTTCAGTTCTGAAGCACCAAACAACTGTGCGTCGGATTGATGACCTTCTCCACCAGTGTCTATCCAGATAAACTTATAATCCGCATCCACCAGGGCCAACAGCACCACGGAGAAGAAGCCTTTGTAGTTGAAGAACACACTGCCTGAGTTGTGTGGTTTCCTGATGGCTATGTGCTTTCCATCCAAGGCCCCCAGGGCATGAGGAAGATTCCATCGTTCTTGGAACTGCTGGGCAATGGCCTTCCAGTCCTCCTTGGTTCTTGGCAATGGCATGACGTCATCTTTAAACTCCTGTATGATGGCCTGACAGACTTCCTGCACACTCCATACCACCATGCAATAGCCACATCGGAAGTCATACTGGAGGGTGCGATACCCGTCTCCTGTAGCCAGGTGTCTGAGCGTCATGGCCAGCTTTATTCCAGCATCTAGGGCTGGTCTCATATGGGTGTCCCTCCGCTGGATGACTGGGCTAATCCTGTTGAGTAGCTCATCAAACATGTGGGCAGGCATTCTAACATAGTTGGCAAAGGCATTCTCATCTTCCACCCTCAGGTCCTGCATCAGTCTGTTGTAGTGACCATATTCTAGCCTTCTAGCTGGTGTCAGCCACGGTTTAACCCACCACCTGCGGGCTCTTCTTTGAAGCAGTCTTCTTCTAACTATCAGCAGCTGGTGTTGATACTCAATTTCCAGGGCCAATACAACAGCTGCTCTACGTTGAACATCCATTTCGGAACTGATGCACAAGCTCGGCTGAATGCCTTTTCATACCTATCATGAGGGGAAATACCACGAAATGTCAAGAATAGTCCACAAATCACTTTTA